ATGGGTCCTTGTTTACTAGGTATTTGCTTAAACTCGTATTTGGACATGCATGACACGTTTCGACAACATCTGATGCGAAAAAAGAGTATCCTTTCTTATTATGATTTTTCTATGTAAAGGACCAAAGTCATATTTGCGGTTTGTGGGGAGATTCTGCAAACATGATAATAAAGTTTGTCTGAATTATTGTATTTTCGAAGTAGGAATTGGTTAACCAGCTATCTTTAACCACAAATGCGTTTCAATCATATTTTTTGTCTCTCTGCACGTTTGATTTACGCTTTTCAGATTCTTTTCAGACCCAATGAAAAATTTTGTCCATTTTGTATCAAAACAATTCACAACGCAACAACGAATATAATTATGATGCTACGCATTATTTACTAAGGCGCAGGTCAGTTGCCTCGATACGACCAAACGCCAAGCTTGTTTTCCCATAGAAGCGAGAGGCCTAAAAATGTAACCTCTAGAGTGATTACAAAGTTTTTCCAATTTTGGTCTGTGTGACCATGAATGACGCATGTTCAAAACTAAGCTAAAAATCATCAAAACAAAACTTTCTGACAAATTTTCAGGATACTTGGGATGAAAATTTTACCTCTAGAATGCAAACAATATTTTCCCTAATTTGGGTTATGTGACCTAGTTTTTGACCCCAGGTTCAAACATGACCTAGAAACCATCTGACTTATTTCCAGGATATTTGGACCTAAACAGTATCCTCTACAGTGTTAGCAAGGTTCTCCCATATTTCGGCTGTGTTACCTAGTTTTTGAACACATATGAACTATAGTTGAACTTGAGTTAGACATCATACATGTACAAACAACCTTTCTAACCAATTTTCAGAATATTTGGACCAAAACAGTAGCCTCTAAAGTTTTAACAAGGTTTTTCCATATTTTGGCTGTGTAACCTAGTTTTCGACCCCAGGCGACCCATATTAAAAACTGCTCTAAAAATAATCAAATCAACCTTTCTCACCAATTTCCAGGATATTTGGACTGAAACCACAAAAATTTGTTTCACAACAGCATGATCTAAATAAATAAAACGGTGAAAAGCAAAAACAATATGAACAAATTATAGAATAGTATAATTGTTTTTTTAAATAGATAAATATCGAACATAAAACCACAATCAATTAGCCTAAATTAAAGCCTATACAGGGACTGACAATAGAACTTTAGAATGCGTTTCACAGAACACGAAAACTTTCCTCAATGATGGACAAACTTCAGTAATTCACATGTTATGATTAATATTAAATCATAAGAGCTTTCTACCATATGTAATACCTAATTTCATATTAGTTTTGATAGGTAAAAAAATTCAGCACTTGGTTGCCATGATGCCAAAATATTAGACCACATGATTACAAGATTGACCTTCACAGCTTATAAAGTTTTGGAAGCCAGAACTACACACTTGCATGACATACTTAACTTCATCCAGCATTATAAGGGTCCTGAGATCAGAAATCTCTGGTAACCCCTCAAGGTCTAACACCTGATAATTATTTTCCAGTATATAATTTGTTTCTGATCTCATAACTTTATCAAGTCAGTTTTTTAACGAATTCAGCATTGGTGAACATATCATAGTATCTGGTTATCTATTCCATTCTGGAACTATATTCTAAGAAAAAATGCTGAAGAAATGAGCAGCATGCCCATTCACACACTACAGTGCGTAATTCACGTACAAAATTATATATGTACGCATAAAAATTGTAGGAAGTTAGGAAGTACATGCACGAAAATTAAACTTGTCAGAATGAATGTTTGGGATAGTTACTCTAATCTGCATATCTGCTAAGTGTCATAATAATTTACCAATTGTTAGGAAAAGTCTAAAATGAGTTTCAATTATATGACTGATTTTAAAAAGTCATTACATTCTGATTCATAAATATTTTAGCCGAATCTTGATGTCACATGATTGTATTGTAATAACCCACCTACCTAGAGGTGTACTGGTAAGAAATCAAGGTAATCCTCGCATGTATCAGTGCAATTAACTTGGCATGTAAAAGAACAAAGGGGTTTTTATTCAATAAGAGCTAGGGACAGGTTACTGGATTCCCTTGTTTCTCATAGCTGTCTCTGAAGTCTAATCATGTGTACGTCCCTTAGGGGTCTGAGTAGGTAGGACTAAGGTAGATAGAAAATCACTTGATTTTTAGACAATTAATCTTTAATTGTGAACATTACAAATGTCATATGAAAAGGTAATATAAATAATAAACCTTTAGAAATGGATGTGCATAATTTCGGATATACAAAATTTTGGTTATGGTTAGTAAGTATTAAGGGCTGAACAGAAGATCAGTGATTGTAATGTCTGCCAAATTAAGTGCCTGTGATAGTGTACTATTAAAGTGCAACAGCTATTTAAAAGGCAAAGCCTTAAGGTGAGCTTGATTTACTTTAAGGCCAAATAAAAAATATGTCTGGTTCAGGAAACATTGGTCCAAAAAATTAGGAGGGTAGGGATTTTTTTTTTTTTTTTTTTTTTTTTTTTTTTTTTTTTTTTTTTTGTTGAGAGAATGTCTTATTTTCCATATATAGATGTGTTGCTTGCTTAACATACTTAAACAAAGATTGTAATCAATCAAAGCCTCAAAGCGAGCTTGATTTACTTTAACCAAGAAATAGTATAAATTAATCATTCATTTTTATTTTACATTTTCCGTTTTAAAACTGTAATTCAGTATTTTATACACTGCTTCCGTTTATTTTGGGTCCTGTCCTATTATGGTTCCTATAAAACTGCGCAGGACACCAGACTACACATCCCTTTTCAATCAGTATACCTCGCTTTTATCATTATCTTGTAATTTGAAAAGTTGTCATGTGTCAATTCTGCGAACAAAAGTTTTCAAAACCATCACTATCTAGCAGGTACTCGTGTTACCGTAAACCTCGCTTTGCCAGCAGGCCTTTTGTACCAGCTCTTTGAGCTCGCTATTAACATCATTCATGAGCTTTTTGACAAAATTGTTCTTACAAACAAAAAATCATTTAAACTTCTGTGTACCCCTAGGTTTGAAATGTACCCCCAATTTTCAATGACAGGGGGTAAAGCACCCTTACATTTGAAATCGAGTGGGCATGCTGCATTATACAGACTAAACAGCTGAAGAAAATTATGCATGAAGTGTTCAGGTGTTCACCGTGTTGTATCCGTCATAAAATGAAACAAAGATTCACGAATTCGCAAACCTAGCTAAACGCCGTTTTCCGGTACTTTCTGTACATAGCTCTGGGGAATTCACCTAATGGAGTGTAATAGCGAACTCGTTGTTTTCGACCTTTTTTCAATTTAAATTGAAATAAAACAGTTATTTCTTTATAAGAAAAACATTAAATATCATTGTATGAATAATTCCATACAAAAAATAAAGTAAATACACAAGTTTATGAAAATAACCTTATTTATTATGGAAGATTCCACTATGTCTGTTTGAATTTTATTGATTTTCATTATAAATCATCTATTTTTTTGAATACTTTGCAATGGATATGAAAGGAATATTGATAATTTTCAAAAACATCAATTTTTTCACCTTAAACGGTTAAATAATGATAGAAAAATAGAAATATCACGTCACTGTGTTATGTACTTCATTTGGTGTAATTCCCCAGAGCTAAAACGGTAACGTACCGGAAAACGGTGTTTAGCTAGGTTTTCGAAAAGGTCAATACCGGTGACAGTGCTAATGAAAAGATGAAATATACTGTTAAAAACACTTAAGATGTTAAAAAAACAACCTGTCCCATTTGAATGCCTTACCAAAAATTTACAGGAGTCATGGATTTTTCTTTTTACAAGATTTCCAAATTTTGTTACACCGTGAAAAGTACTTATGTGTGAGTTTTACAAGTACCTGATATGTTCCGTATATACAGCACGTACGATTCCGTACATGCATCTTCATATAATATTTAGTCACATTCAGCCTCAGAAAGAAATAGAGTTTTCTTTCGTAAAAAGGTAAAACACGAGTATGTTTATGATAGTTCGACCTATACTATAGATAACATATCCCCGTACTGCCTCTTTCCGATCAGCTAACAGATTTTTCAACAATAACTGACAGTGAAATTATATATAAAATAAATTCTCTTTCAATTCTGCGAATATTATCATTTCAGCTAATAAATGCACCAACTTTTTAAAATTTCACTTCAATTATTACTATGAATCGAGGACAAATCATTACTGACCCATTTTCCAGTTCTTCAAAATTTCACAACCACTTTTCAATCAGTTAACAAAATATAAACTGTACCACATAAAAATTGTCATACTATGTTAAAATATAATTAGTTCTGTATTTTGGAGAAATTTTGACAAACTCAACTTCAGATAAATGGTAATAAACAATTTTAACCTAATTATAATGCCATTTTTCAATCTAGATATCTATTTGCAGTGGTAAAGCTGTCACAATTGGGGTATGGATGTACATTTCAATTTGCATAACAGATAAAGCATGTTCTTGTGAAATTTTTAGGATCTTAGGGTCTATATGACCCCATTCTAGTGACTGCTTACTGAAAAGTTATCATAGACAATGTTTTTCCTTGGTTAAGTGACTGTTACTTTACTGATGTATTACCTCCCAATTAAAAACTGTATGGTAAAATATGTACATATTAAAATTACAGCTTTTGAAGTGCAGTATATATTATGAATTCATGATATTGAAACAGTTGTCCAACTTAGTATCCATTTCTGCAGACTGACAAAAAACTGAGTCTGTAAATCAATTATTTTTAGAAAATTATTGCGATTTGTAACTTGGAAAATAAAGGATTAGTGGAAAACACACATTTTACATATTTTGAACTAAAATGCTAGCATTTTCTTTTTTTATCGCCATAATTGACATTGCTGCTGATAAATTTAGTCAAGGTGAATACAAGATGTTCTTACAGTTTGGTTACATGACAAATAAGGTCAAAAATAAAAAAATTCTAGTGATGATTTGTAACCAAAGGGAAATAATCAGTTGTAGTTTATTGATTGAAATCTGTAGGAGTGATTTCCCTTGGCTGTTTTATTAGTTAATCATGCGTGTAATTGTTCCCGCCGTTTTCTGAGTTGTCATCAGTTTTTGGTAGAAGGCAGACATGTTTTTCAGTTGTTTAAAATAATAAATTGGTTATTAATTCTTAAATAGGATTTTGGATTTTGGATTGAGGTTGGTGAAGTTTAATATTGGTTGCTTACTTTGTTTAAGTGAGTTACAAATGAGCTGTGTGTCTAAAGTTTATTAAAATAAGATATTCATGTATATTGTACATGATTTGTTTACAATGCATCTGATAATGGCAGCATATTTAAAGTAATATCTATTTGCAGTAATTAATATAAATCACTGTCATTCTCTATTGTGCACATGTTTAATTACAGTATGTTGCAGTAACATCACAAGATTGAGAGGATTTTTGTATGAGTGTCATTGAGTCCAATCCACAATTGGTATGTATAATTGTACAAGTCATATTATTGTTTTACTATTTTATAAGTTTACTATATTCATTTAATAGACCACTGGATTGAATTATTTAATATTTAATATAATACAGAAAACAGTACTTGGAATGTTCAGTCATTAATTTAGAAGTAATTAATTGATGTAATGGTTTAATGACTGTTATATTGGCTATTTGATGTGAGATGTTTGTTATAATCATGCTATGACTTAAATTGTATATATTGTGTTGTGTTAATGATCTCAGTATGTACATGTATTTAGTATTGCTATATTTGTTTGTTTCAGGGCTTGATCTTCATATTGATCTTCATATTGATATCTACATTTCATACTGATTATATATTGATTGGTGCTTTAACAAGTGCTTGATGTGAAGTTGTGATGTGACTTTAACCTCTTGGGTTAAATCTACTGGAAGCTTTATATTATATAGTAATATACTGAGATCATACAATGAATGGACATTTCAATTAAAAGTATTGAACGAACTCAGCCTCGTTGATATTTATTCCTTTACATCTTTAAGGGCATAATTTTAACAAAGGTAACAGATTGAAAAGTGGTTGTGATTGAAAACTGGCAGTATGTGGATACTGTGGGTGTTATGTTTTTTTATCTGATAAAGAAACCCAGTGTCTCACAGGTTAGTATAACCTAAAATCAAGTATATCACGTGTTTATAGTATGAAATAAATTTACATATTTATTTCTATTATCCATAGACAAAGATAACAGTTTTTTATGTCTCTGTATTATCGGAGGTAAACACTCGTTATCATTCTGAAAATATTGAAGTAGGTCATTCACCTTGAAGTTTTAAAGATAGGGTTGGAAATCATGTCCAGTAAACTTTAAGAAAAAATTCCCTCGCACTTTAAATGTGTTTGCACGATTGAAACGAAACGATTGACCTTGTATATTGAGATGGGCAAATTAATTAAAAATATTTTGCAGTTCAAACAAACAACAACAACAACAAAACAACGTACAGTTGGTCGAACATATTTCGATTGGATAAAATTAATAATGTTAAACCTTATTTTTTTAATCTAAGCATTAACAATCGTCGGTATATGATTTTTGGCCTCGTGGGTATCCGACGATGAGCATTAACTTACCTTTTTAAGTTTTATACAGTAGGTCGTAATATTGTTAAATTGTAGGTGAATCTTTGTAAAATTCAGTTCAATGGTTTCCAGTAAATCACAAGCATCAAGATTGTCCTAAAAATGAACTCTCAATAAATATTCACATTCACCACAGAAACAACTATATGTTTGCCCTTAGCTTATGGTATTTGGTATCTGGCATCACCTTGCTGTCTATTGTAATATTTATGTTAATCATGCCTTCCACCTGGATCAAAACCGGCCCATTCCGAGGTCTTTAGTCTGAATAGGAAAGCGTATTTAGATCTCCTCTGAAAATAGAGTGCTAGAGTTAAGAGATCTAGTCAAATCGCATTTTATTGTTTTTCTTTCAATACAAAACAAATACAATTTCCCATACATACATAACACAAGCAATTGATCAAGAAAAATATAATAATAATAATAATAATAATATAATATTAATAATAATAATAATAAAGTTGCAATATAAGATTTAACAACATTAGAGGGTTTGCCCATAAATTTTGTTGCAGTCAATAGATATTGTTCAATATACATTACACACATGTATAATTAGCATCAATATGATAATACTTGGAAAATAAAATACATCTTTAAGATGGCAAATGGCCCGACTAAAAATAATTTTTGAAAGAAAGAATAAAGAAGAAGAAATAAAGAAAAACGATGAAAGAAAGGCAAAATCACTAAGCTGAATATTCCTCTCCAGTTCTTCCATCATCGTTATCGATATCGTAAATAACAATAACATTTTGAAAGTAGGAGACTATAAGATCTAGACGTTGTCTAGCCTTCTTGAAAATTTGATAAGAATTTAAACATAGTGGAATTCGTATTTTTGTCGTCATCAGTATGGTCACTGGTACTAGATAGTTTATACCACGAAGAGAACGATAAACACGATGAAAAAGATAAATGGCAGTCTCTGGTCCGTTTACAAATGAAACTTAGTTTGATTGTCTGCGTCTTAAGAATAAAAACCGCATTCACAGTTTGAACTGTCGGCATTTAGATTACTACACTTATTTTCAATTCGTGTGTGGGGTATTATGTAAACGTCTGTCATCAGAAAAGATCTATGACGGAACTTTAAAATATGTTTTAGACATCTTGTATGCAATAGTGCGTAGTTACTATCCACAAAATATACAAGTAAAATGGTTTCCTGCGGTGAACATTTTAATGATATAAAGATATTTCATTTAACTAGTTTCAACATTATTTGGGGGGGGGGGGATAAATTAACGTTTGTATCAGGAATATAGTTGACAATAATCGATCAATATAGAAGAAGGTATTTGGAAACTGGTGACCGTTGAAGAACATAAAACAATTATTTCTTTTTAAGAAAATGATTAAATAGGCCTACCATTTTATGAATTATTCCGAGCAAAAAATAAATTAAGTAAACACACAAGTTTACGCAGAAAATATCTCTATTTATTATGGCAGATGCCACTACGAATATTTTAATTTTGTAGATTTTCAGTTTAAACAATTTATTGTTTGTAAAATTGAGATAGATATTAAAGAAACATTGATAATTTTCAAACACATCATTCAAGTTTTTCCACCTTAAACGGTAAAATAATCATAGAAAATTAGAAATATCACGTAATAGTTTTTTGTTCTCAATTAGGTATAATTCGGACTAATTCCCTACAGGTGAATCCGTAACGTACCGGCTAACGGTATTTAGCTGGGTTTTCGAAAAGGTCAATTAACCAATCATATACGGTTTACATATCACATGCTCCTCCATGTACCGAAAACAGGTCACGTGCTCCTCCATGCCTCAAAAGTTAAACGCGTACCAATACCCTGCGGTCTCCAGACCGCAGGGAATAAATCATGTCACTTGACTATTAAAATGTCCTACCACCTACCATGGGGCCACTCTTTCATTTAATTTTGTAAAAAAAACTAATTTTAAATTTTCTCAAATACTACAATGCCTATACCTAAGATATTTGGCATGTTGAATCACTTTCTTATTCTCATTAATAGTGTCCACAAGATCAAAATTGATGGTTATTTAGTATAAATAGACATATGCATAACCCTATGTGGATCTCATTAACTGAAGCTACATTCCTTCAGCCTAAATACTTTAAAACATATAGACAAATAAACCTCAAAAAAGTTTTTGTTAAACATGTCCAATGAGTCAAAATAGGCCTGCAAAGGTTCACTTTTGATACATTGACCTTTTACTAAGTGTTAAGGAAACATAATTTAAACGTCGTCACCTCAGAACCAACAGTACCCAGTGTAGCATCACCTTTTGGTACTCTACAATAATTATCTACAGCACACAACTTAGGTCAAAACTGGTATTACCCTTGTCGTCACTTGTTATACTCGTATCTAGGACAACACAGTTAAAAGTTGTTGATGTGAACTACGTACGTGTACATGGCATTGAGACTGTAGCATTGCCTAGTGAACATTTTAAAAAGACATGATTTTTGGCCCTTAGTTAAAATGGCTCTGCTCTGCCGTGATGTGACCCAGTGATTTATTTCTGCATTGAAATGAAAGAAAATTCGAATCTAACGTATAATCGGACACGATATATTTTTTACAGATTTTAAACTACTTTTTGCCTGTCATATGAATGCATATTTTAATCCCTCTTATGACTCGATGTTTATCTTAAATAAATATGACCTAAAATAAATATCTGATTAGTTGCATGCTATAGCGGACTTAATTGGTTGTCAATTAAAGTCCGTGTTGATAACTAAGATTAAAAAAAAAATTGTCTGATCATGTGATCCAAAACTGTTTTCTGAAAATGAATGTCGAACACTAGATATTTAGGGTGTGATATATTCGAAGCTGCCATTAATATAAAGATGGGCAATAGTTCCGGACATATTCTAACGCAATCAATTATATAAATATCAGCGACAATCTTCTTAGTATTTGACGAAATTGGAAATGAAATAACTTGTTTATAGCAGTAAGTTGAAACATTATGTTTTAGTTTTATTTTTGATTAAGTAAAAACAAATTTTGTAAAATTTAACAGACATTTTAAATCTTAAACAGACATTAAATATTGAATGAGTAATTATTGATCAAAAATGAAATAGAAATCGAAAATGAAAATCAGGAGCGTTTAAATATGTGTTTGGATGAACAGGGAATGTCGCATGATTGTAAAATTTTGCTATGTTTGTTACTAGATTTATTACGCATTTTTTCTACCGATCGCAAAGATAGAATTTACGAAATCAACGACCAGTAGAATCGTCAACTGTTGAAGTAGATTTATCTTTACAATATACACATGTAGTTAATTAATAAGTAAGTGATTGATTGATAATAATTGATTGTTTGATTGATTGACTGAAAGAATTAGTGATTTAGTGACTGAGTGGCTTTGTGAGTGAGTGAGTGAGTGAGCGAGCGAGTCCTATTCCTGCTGGTGTATGCATGCATATTGTCTGCCACCAGAGACTTCAAACGTACGAGGGCTGTTCCACATATTCGTGGAATTTTATCGTAGATATGTTAGTAATAGACAGATGTAAAATATTTTTTTTTCATAGACATGAAACAACACTTTTGCATCCGACCATACAGTTTTCATTCAAATATAACTATGAAAAAAAAATAGTTACATCGATTTATATAACACCATGAATCATACATTGGCCGGCTTCAAATGTGAGTCAACGCATGAGCATTAATAACAGACAAGAATAAAGATCAACAAAGCAAAAGACAACATTCACAGGACGCAGCCCCGACACACACAAAGTAGGGCACCCAGAAGGCACCCAGAAGTCAAGTCACACTTTCCACTAATTCTGCTGTATATTATTGTGGCGGTTGCGGTTTATTTTCAAACCAGCGAAATATTTTATCGTTTGATCATAAAATGTCGCGGGCATCTTACAAATCCGCGATTATTTTTTTTTGTCGAAATCGTACAAAATGTCGCGGGGAACGTAATAACCTCGATATCTTATAACAGTTGTTGGAAACAGCAAGGAACATTTTTGACTTGAGTGGCCGGTAGCGTCCATGGGTTTGACTCTACTTTTTTATCCCTCATTTTGTCTATAACAAGTCGAGAAACGGAAAGAAATCCGCGACATTTTTTGCAATTGTTGTTAAGAAATTCTACAAAATGTCGAGGGGAAAAATTATAGGCCCCCGAATTTTTGTTCTTTAACAACCACATTTTATAAAAGTTGCGGCTAAAAAAGTCACGGCTTTTGTAAAGAATCCGCGACTTTTTTAGTCGCGACTTTTTGCGCATCACAATGCTGAATGCTCAAACTCGACTTTTTACTAGGTATGCATCAAAACAAAATATCACGGATTATAATGGCCGTAATCGGCTAGCTTTATTCTGCTATTAACACAGAACTTGTCGCAGTTTCCTTCTTAAATCTCGACTTTTTACGACAGAAGTGTGATAGGAAAACTCGGGAATTCTATAAGGGGCGACATTTTATACACAAACTATCGCGGATTTAAAAGTTGCCCCGCGACATTTAATATAACTGACGGTAAAATTTCTAGCGGCTTTAAAATGGGCGCTATCGGCCACCATAGTATATACACAATGTGGCCATGTACCCCTCAACGTGAATATGATTCTTTAGTTTTAAACATATTTATTGTATATATATACATACATACATACAACAAACATTATCGGGGGCCTATGATCTAATGGTGTCCTGGTGGCGCGGCGAAACTCCTGAATGCTATCGAATTTCTTCCGCTTTGATTTTCGGGAATAGGAGCAGGATATGGAGAATATGGTGGATTCTCCAATACTTCAAATCCAGCAGATTATTGGTAGATCAGGAAGTGTTGGAACACATCATCCAGACCCAACCCTGATCGTTTCCTGACATCGCGTTTTACAAGGTCTCATAGAGATCAGTGTACATGGCTTTGAGACTTTAGCATTGCCTAGTGAACATTTTAAAAAGACATATGATTTTTGGCCCTAAGTTAAAATGGCTCCGCTCTGCCATAAATGTGACCGAGTGATTTATTTCTGCATTGAAATGAAAGAAAATTCGAATCCAACGTATAATATAATACGTTGGGCAAAATTTATTAACAACATTTCTGACAATCGCGTTTACAAGGTCTCATAGAGATCAGTGCATAGAGATGAGCATTTTTGACGACATGATGTCTGGTCATCGTGTCTTGTGTGTCATTATCCTTAAGTTTTGAAAAACATCGCCTAATTTACATGGTACATTTTAATCAGACTTTCAAGAAATGTTTAACTTTCAGGTGACCCTCTGCACAGAGTGTTAAATAAATCGGGTGTAATCCACAAGAATGACACATGAGAATCAAATAAACTTTTTTAAGATAAAATATTTTATAAAAACTTTGTCACAGGGATGATATAAAATATTCATCCTGATTTTTTGTTGAATCGAACCTGGGACCTTTGGAATAACCGTTTCGCGGCTCTACAGACTGAGCTATCCGGTCGCTTACACATCTCTCTCCCCCCCCCCCCCCCCCAAAAAAAAAAGTGAACAGTTCTGAACCCTGACATACTACCGCGCTATATTGAAATTCTGCCTCGAATTTCTTAGGTTATAGATCAATGCTAATTAAACTCTAGCTATATGCAGTCACTGTCCTCCGTCGGGCGGCAAATGTCACAGGGTAAGAAATATGTGCAGCCTGACCGGGGTTTGAACCCGGGACCCTCGGAATACTGTTCTGCGGCTCTACCGACTGAGCTATCCGGTCGCTAACACTTCTTTCCAACAGCTCTGAACCGTTTCAATTTTATTAATGTTCACAAAAACTGCCATGCACAGCGCTTATATATTTGAAATGCACCACTACCGTGTGTTCATTTACCAAAGTTATACAAATTATGGCCCTGAGTTCAACACAAGCCCGTCCTGGTGTAACCTTTACTTTGTGTAACCCTAACTTTATATAAACTTATATAGAAACACACATTTAAAACGTTAAACTTGTTTTGTTTGATGATAAAATAATAAAATGCCAATCAAAAGTTGATGATTCTCTGTAATTTAACATATCAATCGCAATACACAGATCGGATACGGTATTTCGGTCTAACTTACGCATGTAAACATGCTGGGAGTTGCCGACAAGTTTTTTTCCAATATATCATGTAAAAGTCCACCTAAAATAAGTTAATTCATAGAAACAAAGCAGACAATACATTATTTATATATTTATTATTATGGTTGTAGAAAGCGAAAGTACAAAATGCCAACCTGCTGACATTTAGTTGGATTTGTGAAAAATTTGACATCAGTGGGTATATTCAAATCACAAATGGTTGTCCGACACATTTTCAATCATATTTGTACAGACTTTATTTTCGTTTGGATGCCAAATATTCGTTTTACATTATCGAAGATTTAACTCTCTGTTTTTTTATTCTGGTATAACTACTTTCAATCAGTATTAACTTGGAGGTTATTAATGAAAATAGCCAAGGATGTTCCGATCGATAACATGTACGTTGAAATGCTGCATTGTCTTAAGTTTGTGTAAGGTTAAGAATTGTCCTGCAGCATCACCTTGTGGTCCTTGTCAAGCGTTGCATAATAAAACGGACAGGACCATAAATGTGACCCCAGTTCTATGTTCGTTTTATTTATATAGACATATATAGCATTCAGAAAAAGAAGGATTCTTCAAAACAATGATAAACCATGGCTTTTAGTAATTGCCATTTGGTTCATTTCTACACTTCCAGTCACTGTGCGATTACAAGTTTCTCCTGAAATGACTCTTTGTTGAGCTACCTGGGACAAGCACGATCCTCATCTTCTGAAGTTTTATATTTTACACTTTTCCAATTAAATTCATGCTATTTTTTATGACTGATCTAAGGGGAAATCACATTACTTTGGCGATAATAAGAAAGGAACTACTCAGTAGTCTTTGTTTATTAAGCATTTTATTTCGACCAACTATGTAAATTTGCATGTTCACTTAGTATATTATATTATATTTACAGCTTGTTATATCAAAGATGTAAACGTTGACCTTGGTATTAATTATTAAACACATAAGCATCAGTCAAAGGCAAACATCCATGGTAAATCTGTCGCAACTACATGGATCGACAGACGAGATTAGCACCGATGACGAGCAATATGAAGCAACTTGATTATCTCGACAAAACCTTGGATTACATAAACATCATTAAAATCAATACCAGCGGTTTTAAGAAAAATGAACATATTCAAAATCAGGATGATTTAGAAAATGCTGAGGGTATTATAGATGAGATCACTAACGGAAGAAAACGAAAGTCTTCATTCAAAACAAATGCTCCAAATTCAAAAATTGCTAGAACCGATCCAAACTTATCAATACCGTCAGAAACTGTCAAAGCTACACAAGGACATGGATACAAGTTTAAACAGCTTTTCCTTCAATCGCAAGTAATGGATATGCTGAAGCAGAAACGGGTCAATTTCGAAGTTCATCTATATTTAGTTGAAAACCATATAAGTTCTAAATTTTCTAAAGCCTTTTCAGAAATTGTTACCAAGGAATGTAAACAAAAGCTTCGTCAAGATAAAGAGGTTACTAAAAGTTACATGCTTTTTTTCTACAGAAATGTAAAAAAGGGAAAGTTTTTTACACCTGAAATATACGCATTATCTACCGGTTTCGCATGGCGAGTTGTAAAACCGTTTGCAGAGATGAATTTTGCCAAACATGTTGAGAGGCGGGTTCTTAGTTTTCCGTGTACGAAGTTTCATTATGATCTAATAGATGGGCATATATCCTCGATTTCAAAGTTGGCAAGACCTGGACGTGAAATAACATTTACAACATGGGATTTTCTTGGGATATTGGTAAAGAATCGAACCAGACAAATCCGTGACAACTCATCTTTATACTCGTCTAAAATAGATGCATTCGTGACTAAAACAGGAAAACATATACCGACCAAATTTCAAGTTGGTAAAAACAAGTTGAAAATTCAGCGTAAGCTAAAGTTATCTCAACTCGGACGTTTGCTTGAGCATTTTTCCAAAATAATCTCAAACGAAAAGCCGACGTACTTGATTAATGATAAGAAAGAAGAAGAAAAAGATAACCCATTGTTTCAAATGTATGATTTTGTTTCACAAGTCACTAAAAAAGGGGTTCGCGAAAATTTAAATAAAAAACTGAACAAAACTCTTCAAGACAGTATGGATGGCAAAAATTCAACAATATATTTAATGCATAAGAAGAAAAGCGTATGGTCAAAGGCAGATGAGTTCAGTCTTCGATGTTTGGATAAATCAGCTTCGGGATCGAAAAAGAAACACTACAAAACAATAAAGAAATGGAATGTCTTTCCAAAACTTGATGATGTCATGCGCGCGTTAAAAAAAGAGTATACACCAAAGTTTCAACCCGAATGGTTAGACAATGTCATAATTGAATTTAGAAATATAAAGGCAGCCCTGAAGGAATGCATCTTCAGACGTTTTATTGTAGGAGGCATCGGAACGTATATATATAATCATGGAGAGTGGATTGAGATGAAAGCTGAATACCTTTATTGCATTGAAAGGGACTTTGTTGAAATATTGAAGCATCACTGCCAAAGTGATCTACCTTTGCTTCTTCCATGGAAACATCTTTGCAAAAAAGGGGAGAAGAAAAAAGATAAAAAGAAAGATGAACAAAAGTTCCAATTACAACAATTCAAGACCGAAACAATGGTACCAAAGTGGAAAAGTCATTATTAAAAAGTCTGCAAAGGTGAAAATTTACAAGAACTCACAAAGCTTATGGAAGACAAAACCGACCCAGTTTATGACTTTGAACGGTTTCAAACGATGAGTTCATGCAAGAAAGCTGCGAGCCTGTACAAGCTTTTGGAGTGTAGACTTGAAGAAGACAGCTACAATTCAGCCCATACATTACTGAACATGATCTTACCTGATTCATCTGACACGAAAATAATAACATGTGATAAAAAACTGGTGAATGGTATCGAGCTATGCGACATAATGATTTTCGACAAGAGTGCTATATACCTTGTTCACGTAAAAGCAAAATTCAATGGAGAATCTATTCGAGCGGTTTGCTCTCAGATAAGAAATGCTGCTGATTACATTTATAGAGAGATAACTCTAGGAAGAAGTACTGGTATTTTCGATCAGTACTGGAAGGAGCTCACCAAAGCTGCTGCTAAACCAACAACACACGGAAATGAAGTGAAAAGTGTTTTGGAAAATATGACAAAGAAAACATTCAAGGAATATTTCAAAGAGGGGCGGGATATCATATTTGTCCTCGCGTGTCGAGACACCAGGAAGAATGCAGAATTTATTGAATTTGGTGATAATTCTGGATTATTAAAAGTTCCTTTAGCAGAAGAGATCCAGAAAAAGATTAAAGAGAATACATCTGAAGTCATCTCTAAATTAACAAAAGAAAAGTTTCTTACTGAAGATGGACATTTAACAAACAAGTTTATTTTAAAAGGAAAGAACACCAAAGAAGCATTTATAGAAAAAATAAAACAATGGAAATGTATTAAGAATAAGAAAACGGCAAGAAATGTGTCTAAAGTTCTTATGTCCGGGCTTTCAAAATCAAAATCCACTATCGCTAAAATGGATATCATTAGACTTCTAAAAGACTTCGAGCGTTACAACGTTGATGATCGCAAGCTACAGCTAAAATTGCTTAGTATCAAAAAGGATTTTCCTTAAATGATCCGAACACATCAGTGGTTTTCTTAGCAACTCAGAAAGTAATTAACACATTGCAAACGGAACTTACAACCTAGGAGAAATAAGATGATAAATACTGCAAAATAAGTCATTAACTGCGCATAATATGTAATTTATTGCTTGAGTATTTAATAGTTTTACTTTTCTTGAAATTTTAGTACATGCACAATTTTCTCAAGTAAAGTTTTCTTTAAATATTTTAGTTCATCCCGTGGCTTGCAGCATTCAGAAAGTACAATACCCAGAGTTTAGATATTTTGTATGCAGCACCCCCCTTTGGCCCTTTACGAATCTTTTTTTTAATTGTGTTCTTTTCTAGCAATGTAAGGTGAGTGATCCAGGTCCATCATGACCCTATGTTTTAGTTTCCCCTTTTGGTCGAACTTGTAAAGTCCCTATATGATTAATTTTTATACAGGGTCATAATATGATAAACAATTATTTATAGTTATACAGGCAAACTGTCTTAAACATTGACATGTGAAAGTATTTAGAATTGATATACATGTATTCAATTATCATAATTATTTTCTTTAGATATATTTGTAAATTTGTTGTCTCGGATATACATTAGTTACGCACTATGGAGGATATGGCGTTGGAAGAGAAGGAGACTGTTATTATATGGTTGGCAAAAAATATAAAAAATAAGGACACAGAGAAGAAAAACAATAGCTCTCGATTTAAGACGTGAAACGATAATTCCACACAAAAACATACATTTATCATGGTAACTTACGCTTTGCAATGTTTTATAATATCCAAATATAACTATAACTATGTAGCTGGCACACAATCATAGAAAATGAGGACTAGGGGGAGAAAATAAAAAAGATTTTCATTTCTTGTTGACATGCGTTATTATAAATGTGACTGAATTCAGGCCCAGCAACGTAATACAAAATAAAATAAAGTAATTAATAAGCTAATTATCATAAGATGAATAAATAAAATGGAGGCAATAGAAATATTATAGCTATACAGAGCACAGTAGTGAAATATAGAGAAGTTGTCCTGTGGCCATTACTGCTTGAAAGAAAAACCTTCGAAATACAACAACACACGTTGAAAATACGATCTCAAACTCTTCATATCTAGTCGAGAGCTTAATACAATATTGCTGAAGATAACAGTTTATCATTTTCGTGTGTTACAAATAGGAGATCAGAAAAGAGAGCGATGTACCTGTACATATTTCTTAAGCATTAAAGACAGCTTTAATTCTTAGAAGATATAGAGGATATTTGTTTGTTTGTGTGTAAGATGAAATTTTATTTCATCGAGTTGGCTTTAAAAACAGTATTCTCACGAGTGGCGTAGCCACGAGTGAGAATACTGTTTTTAAAGTTCACGAGATGAAATAAAATTACATCTTACATAACAAACAGACAAATTTTCTTTTTATTTTATGCTTAAAAACAAGTTAAAACGAAATTTCCATAATTTTAACGTTAATATTAAAATTTGTTTCCCCCATTGAGAGCCCCATTTAGACGGAATTTCACATTAAAAACAAAAAGTCTTGAGCTGAAAAATAAGTCCGCCAATCAAGGTTAAATGACGGTGATATTTATTCATTTTATTAAAAAATATGAATGATCGCTTGTTTTAATAATAAAAATAAACAATTCTTGTAGGAGAAAAAGTCCAACCATCCATCCATATTTCTGTTACTTACTGCGAATTTATATTAGACATGGCTTTGTAAATTGTAAGCGGCAGCCATTTTTTAAATTTGTGTATTTCATGGGAGGAAAATAATTGTGTAAGATTCAGAGGGATATAATTTGGATTTGTTAGTCATACACCTTTTTAAAAGAAAGAAAACTTATTTGAGGATTGTAACAGACAAAAAATAAGTGTTGACAGATGTGAAAACATTCAGAAAAGGAGCTTGGAAAATGGAAAACTCGGAAGCTTGCTAAGGAACGCTGCCGCTGGGTTGTTTTACTTATTCTACGAGTGATGGTTGTCAATGCTTTTCAATTTTTCATAAAGCATACGGCAGTTATTGCTCGTAGGATACTTTAATATGCCCAAATGTCATCAAGAGCAGTTTTGCATGGGGAAGAAATGTATTTTTCAGACTGTAAAAACGAAACAAAAAATTTAGAGACGAAATTTGGTGATTGGAATATAAATGAATAAAAGTAAGCTTTCTCTCTTTATTACTTTTGACTTTTAAGTTATTTATCTATTTCAGCTTTGCTATTTCTTTTAACAGCCTGACATTGTCAGAATTGTCAGTAAAAATAAAATTGAGGTACCACATGGGGATAATCTTAAAAAAGTAGTTTCGTCATTGAAAAAAGTGAAATTATATTTTGATAATTTTCACTGTGAAATTATCAAATATAATTTTCACGGATAAATCAGTAATCCACTGAAAAGCATAAAATAAATAGCTTTACAATACCTAATTAATCGGACTGTAATAGAAACTATTAATTGAAACAAGAAAAGCCATAGATATGATACAAAAGTCAATCGTTGAGTGCTTTATTAATGTGATATAATGTTTGCGTGTGTAAAAAAAATTATGTTAAAAGTGAGAGCATAAAAAGCTTGCAATACATAGACAAATGTCTGCAGAAAAGACAAGCAAATATAAAATCTATGTTTATATCATACAATTTAAAAAAGCAGTCATTTCGGTGAAATTATCGATCTAATGACAAATCTTAGTTTCATGAAAAAATTATAATTGCTATAAGAGTTTACATAACTAAACTTTTATGGAGAACAAAATAAATGTTGCTGCCAAAAGCAAAGGATGATTGTACCCACGGCCTCATATATTTGTGCCAATGTAAATGATACTTGTCGATATTTGTGTGAACATAGCGGTCTTGTTTTCAACATTTTTGTATTTGCTAAACATTTTATTTGTAGTTTTTTTGTAACTTGTAAGTACAGTTGACATCATTAAAGTCATCTATCATATTTTAAGTAAATTAATGCTGTTCAGAAATAATTACATATAAAATTATAGCAATAGCTAATCTGTGTTGCAGCAAATATGCCTTGTATTTAGCCTTCATATTATGCTTAATTATCAAATTGAAAATTATCATTTTCTGTTCAAATTCTTTTCTGAATCAAACTTATGAAATGCTACATATTGTATTCAATTTAGTGTAATAATTATCTTAAAAAGTTGAAATCGAAAAGGGAAGAGCAACTTAACTTTAGCTCAATAATCAAATTGCATTTATCATTTTTTTTTGGTCCAAATTGTTTTCTAAATCAATGTGATGAAATGCTACATATTGTATTCAATATAGTGCGATGATTAATTAAAGTTAAAATCGAAAAAGGAAAGAGCAACTTAAAGCATTTTGCAATAAATATGTTATCTCGTCATCAAACTGTGTACACGTGTAGTATCCATAGACTTTTCTTGTAGGCACATTATTTCTCCCAAATCCATATTTCTTTATTTTTTAGAAATGTCCTACATGTGTTTTATAAAGTTTTAATAATGGCTTAAGAGCATTTTAGATGTTAATCAATTGACGAAGTAGGGCTGAACATGCAATACTGTGTCGTAAATGAAACAAAATGTAAACAAAGTAGTATTTTGACTTCCATACAAAATACCAATTCACTGTGATTATACCAAATGCCAACATAATAAAATCAGCAAAAGATAGTTTAAGCATATGACAAATGAGTATTGTGTTGGAAATTAAAATGATAGCATTTTTCAATTTTATGGGTCTTCAAATGGGCTTTTCTATCTTTCATTCTTGACGACATATGTATCATTTTAGGGAAAATTACAAAAAATGTACTGATTGATTCTAATAATTTAAACATTTTTTTCTGTTATTTGAACTTATTCCTTGTAATTATGTGACTATGTTAAATCTATCATCATAATTTTCTGTAAAAATTATGTATATTTTTTACATGTGTTTATTTACAAAATTAATGAATGTATATGTATATACAATGTTTATGTTAAATATAAACCGCAAATCATAAAACTTGACGATGGTCATGTAATATATTTATGCCAATAAACAATTTGACTAAATTTTATGGATGAACAATGCAAACCATACCATGACGACGTCCATGCTGAAACTTGGTTCACACCGGTCGAATGGATAAAATCTGTTGCAGCTATGTGGCTAGCTATGGTAATGTAACTGCTGCCTGCAAACATTTTCCTGCTATACATGTTGCCTGATTTTTCATTAGATATTTTTTTCAACTGCCTGTAGTATGCAGACTTCATAATCTCTTACAGCTCGGGAGCATTCCGCCGCTGTTCCATTAAAGGTTGATAATCTCCGCCGTATGGATGAATTAGCCAATGTTTCTTGATCGTTCATGTATTATGTTTGAGTTCTACTTAATTCGGTACTAGAGGACATAAGTTACACTTACCACTGACATCCATGAACGTGGTCTAAATCAAACCGAGCCTGCTACTTTAAAGGCGGTTATCAGGTCATTCTTTAACCATTAATTGTCGTGTTTATATATCTATATATAATGTATTTATATATAATTGTGTAATAAATTGATTTGGAAAATGTTATCTGTGTTTATCAATTTAATATGTCCTTGCCTAGTTTATTGTAAAGTGGTTATCTTAACATTGGAATGAAGTAACTATAACAACAACAACAACAACATCAACATAAAACCCAACTAAAATTATCATTTATATTTGATATTTGTAATCAAAGCAAGAGCAAAAAATAATGTAGGCCTCTAGATTTGGTCACATATGCACACAGGTAATGATTTTTAAGAAACGATGTTGTTATTGCATGCTCTATTACAATAATTTGACTATCAAGGACAAGGTATTTCAAGGTCAAGGTCAATTTGAGTTGGATCATTTTTCAAGACATCGTCCTGAAGGAAGTTGTGCTCAAGTATAAAGTCAATCCGTTTAAAAATATCAACATTTTAGCCAAAAAGAGCAAATTTCAAGCAATGAAGTAAAATTCATTAATTTGACCTTCAAGGTCAAGGTCATTGATGAGCGAATACCATCATCATGTCGGTCTTCATTATGGTCTTATTCTTATAAGTACTGGTTTTTCTTTGCTCGGATAAAAATATAAAAGTATGTTGTTTATATGTGTTTTAAAGAAGAGTCGTGGCTTTGATTTTGGACGATGAGAATTTGAATTATTAATATATTTATATATTGATGAAATTGGTTGACATAACTTTCATCATAGTTTCCACCATATTTAATACAACGTATTTTCACCAATAATTATGGAAGAGAAACTGCATTACATAACTGTAACATAACTAGTGAGCAAAAGCCCTTGAGATCATCTACCTGTCCTTCATCAGACTTATCATCGAATATGGTGATGTCTTATTTGACAATTGTACCAAAATAGAGAAAGTAGTTCGAACTAATCTAAAAGGAAGCTTAAAACATAGTCAATAGCATAAACTTATTCTATTTTACAAAATGGAAAATTATCATTTTTAACATCTGTCATGAGACGTAACAAATGGCAATCTTTCATAAGAAGTAACAAATGGCAATCTATCATAAGACATAACAAATGGCAATCTATCATAAGACGTAACAAATGGCAATCTATCATTAGACGTAACAAATGGCAATCTATCATAAGATGTAACAAATGGCAATCTATCATAAGACGTAACAAATGGCAATCTGTCATAAGACGTAACAAATGACAATCTATCATAAGACGTATCACATGACAATCTATCATAAGACGTCACACATGACAATCTATCATAAGATGTAACAAATGGCAATCTTTCATAAGATGTTACAAATGGCAATCTTTCATAAGATGTAACAAATGACAATCTGCCATAAGACGTAACAAATGGCAATCTATCACAAGACGTAACACATGACAATCTATCATAAGATGTAACAAATGGCAATCTTTCATAAGATGTAACACATGACAATCTGTCATAAGACGTAACAAATGGCAATCTATCATAAGACATAACAAATGGCAATCTATCATAAGACGTAACAAATGGCAATCTATCATTAGACGTAACAAATGGCAATCTATCATAAGACGTAACAAATGGCAATCTATCATAAGACGTAACAAATGGCAATCTATCATAAGATGTAACAAATGGCAATCTTTCATAAGATGTAACAAATGACAATCTGTCATAAGACGTAACAAATGGCAATCTGTCATAAGACGTAACAAATGACAATCTATCATAAGACGTAACAAATGGCAATCTATCATAAGACGTAACAAATGACAATCTGTCATAAGACGTAACAAATGACAATCTTTCATAAGACGTAACAAATGACATGACAAATACATGCATGCCTAACTTATTTTACTTTAAGTTGTTAATTAGTCTTTAAATAATCTGACATCTTTAAATTAAGAAATATACGCAGATGTGTTCATGTACAGTAATCGGCGATTATCATGTAACTTTCAATGTGATACGTTAGCGCCATTCCATGTCATGATAAGCAGCGTATGTCTCCCAATTAATAA